AGAATGTAACAAACACAACCAAACAAATGAAGCAATGAGTACTCAGGACAAAGACCAAAAAGGCGCTTAAGAGAAATGCCACCATGTAGAGCAGAGGAAGGTTGAATGTTGATGAGATGGGTGGAAGAAGAAAGCTGAGCCCAAAAGTGAGGTTGAAGAAGCGGTGATCATCAATGCATGAGCCATCTCAAGAAGGTGATCATGCTTGCACTCAGCACAACCATCCTGAGTGTGAGCACCAAAACAAGAGAACAACAAGTGTGTCTTCTCAGCAAGGAATCCGCGCAACAAAAGAAAAATAAACTACAGAATCGACAAAAGAGACAGTATTAGGAATGGAGAACTGGTTGTGAACCATGATGGCAAACTTCTTATAGATAGATAATACCTCATTACGAGAAGATATAAAATATATCCAGGTGTGTCAAAAGAAATCGTCAAAAGATAATGTAGTAGCGATGGCCTCCTATCGAGGCAAAGGGAGTCGGATCGAAACATCAGAGCAATGCATGAGAGTGAAAATGGTCGAAAGGACATTGAGACACAGTCTCCGCGTGAGGATAAGTTAAATGAGCATGTTTACCAAGCTCACAACTCTACAATCTATAGACACATCTCCAGTATGAATCCAAGAAAAGCACATCAAATTATGGATGAGAGAAGAGAGCAATACAATGATACAAGTGACCAAGATAACGATGCCACTGCTGAAAAGAGACGGTAAACAATGCATGAAGGCGGAGAGACTAGCGGTGGTGGCAGCGGAGGGAAGTTGAAGCCAGTCAAGCTCCTAGTGGCCCTGGGGGTCACGACGCCAGGGGCCAGCACTAGTAGATCTCGTGTGATAATCATGTACATACAACAGTCAAAGTCAACAATGACCCAAAAATGAGAGTCAACAATCTAACTGCAAGAAATGAGTTGCATCGACTATCGACTGGGAGGGAAGTACCATCAGTCTTAATAACAAGAACATGAGAATCCACAAGTCGAATGGTGGGAAGGAGACCAACCATAAGTCATATGAAAAGACACTCTAGTACTCCTACCAAAGATCTATGGAGATGTAGTTAACTATGTAAACAAGTGTTTTTTCCATACCAAAGGCATCAGTAGCAAAACATGTCGATGGAGAACTGAAAGAAGCAACTAGTAGGCACCAAAGTCATGTAGTCTCCAATGTAGTTAGATGCTCGATAAAATAGGTCAACATGGAAGCACCAGGCGGTGAAGAACCCGAAGCATTAAGCAAGTGTCAAAGTCGTGAAGGACACCGCTCAAGTGGTCAACGTATAATCACCAGGAGAGGAGTGGCCACCTCACAGATGGAAACCACTAAAGGAGGTGGTGTGGCACGATCAATCCTGTCTCTAGAAGTCAATATAGAAGACAAGGTCACAGATACAAACGTAACTGATGGGCTACCGATGAAAGTCTTGAGAGCAGTCGTTGAAGTGCGACCACCACAACTTGCAGATGTAGAGCAACCATCATTGTCTGTGGATATAGCACGAGGTGTTGCTATAGAGAAACCACCAGTCTTCAAATAGCACTAGAGGAGGCCACGTCACAGGTGGATGAACACCAAGCACCAAATAAAGATGCATCTACGGGACGTCATTAGTGTAAGAAACACCGCAAAAAGGTAGTGGGCAGCAAGGATGAGGCGTACATGAGGACGTGGTCATTGTACCTTTTTTACAACAAATTGAATTAGCCCATGGCTGCCTGGAAATGCAGCTAGCCAGAAAAAAAGAAGTAGAAGCAGGAGAGCCACAATGTAAGGTCATCTCCAACTCCGTGTATCAAAATGCCGCGAAAGATCCGGACAGTGAGGCCTAGACAATTTGTGCCATCCAATGTTATGAATTCAATATCCGCGGATCGGCTCGCATGTGCGAATTTTTCCAAAATGTAACCAATGTTGGGGGAGATTAGGAGGTGTCTGGATGCCCTTAATGCCGGACTCCGACACACCTTACCCACCCAATCCCCCCCTCTAGAGACCTTCCCCCCACTCAGTCCATATCCTCTTGCTATGCATCTGCATCTACCAAACCTCCTACACCTCTACACCACTTTGCCAGCCGCTCAGTTCTTTTCAGACCACCGTTGCTCCACCCAAGCGCCCTTTACTTCATTTCCATTGCATCGTCGGATCTGTCCGCAACCCATGTATGGTCTGCCCCTGCTGACACCATTCCGCAGACATCACACCCCCAAGTGTTCAGCCAAATGTCGGTGAGAATATATTTTTGACCCTCTCCTTACAACATGAATCAAGCACGATAGCAAGGTACTCGGTGAGGGAGCATGCGTTGTTGCCCACAAGGAGGGGGTTGTTGGCATGAACTAGAAGGGCATGATACTTTGGCAACATAAGCATTCTTGGTTTCATGAGAGCAGTACGTGCACGTGTAGCCGCCTACAAGTACGTCTGCAAACCTTGCACCATGACCTCTAGTTAACTTGGCGATTAGAAAAATAGGTCGAAACCATACCAGCAGCTTGGCCAGCCCGATCCAAGCGGCTAGGAAGCAATGCCTGGAGACTAGAGGGTGTGCAGACGTGCAGACTGCGGAGAGCTGCATCAGCGGCCAGCAGAGGTGGATGGCAGAGAGGGGGGTTGTCCAGGGGCTAGATCCTGTTGGCAAGGCAGTGACGTCCTGGGATGAGGAGATGGTGAGGCGATGTTGGGGAGATCGAGAGGGAAAAAATCAGTGACTAGTAGCGGCGTCTAGGAATAAGAGGTAAACCTTGAGCTCATATACCATGTTACGAAATATTAACTTGTACTTTAAAATGATCATTGACCATCATATATACGCGTGCATGTCAGGAAGTCTCTTATACAAAGGGTACAGGGCTAATTTTATGTTGTTTGAATAGCTAGGTTGATGGATACTTTCTACTGGTGCATAGTTCTCCTTTGGTGTAAGATGGGGATAGTTTGAACTTTGTAAATTTTAATTATAGCATTTGTGGCTTTCAACAAATATTCTTACCTATATATTTCCTATAATAAGCTTTTGGAGCGACCTCTGACAATTAAATTACTGATTGGCTGATTTTATGACAGTTAATTTACGCAGGATACACCTGCAAGCAAGGGTGGTTCTTTACACAGTGCATTAGTGACCCTGAACTACGGTACGATATTTCCTCTTTAAAGATTAAATGTGGCTAGTTTACAATAGAACACTGATTGCTTTCCCTAGGAAGACTGAACTTGCTTAATGAAGCCCTCGTTATATAATCATGTTTCACTCTGTGATGTCAGTCCTGAATAGAGAGAAGTGTATGTAACCCCCTAGTCTTTCACGTTCGTGCTACATCACGTCCTCAAATCCAAAACCGGCTACATAACCACCTCAGCTTTCCAAAACAAGCTGAAACACCCCGTGACACTATGTTAAGTGGTTTTAGACAATGGTTTTGCCAACATGGCAGCGAGGCCGGGTGTTGAGGCCGACCACGTCACCCTGCTTAGCAAGTTGACATACCCATCTATCACCATCTCTTCCATTCTATGGAACTCATCTTGTCAGAGGACATCGCGGGTCATCCGCCACAGATGTGCTCGGTGGAAACAACTGCAGCTAAGAAGCCTGAGGTCACCGCTGCCCTTCTCCACCTTCCTTTTTGTCGGCTAGTGATACCCTGGCCAACGCCCCACAGAGACACCATGAGGAGCCTCCTCAGAGACTCCATGGTGTTGTGCATCCACATCAATGTTGACAACCTCTTTGAGCTGGCCACCTCCATGTTGGTTTAGCTCGTACGAGGACGGCGCGAGAAAGGGAGAGATGGTTGTGAGAGAAAATAGTTGGTTACACCGACATATGGGTCCCAGGATGAGCTGTGAGTATATGAAAACCACCTTCAAAATCAGCGTAGGGGGTGTTTTGTCTGGTTTTGAAAGGTTTTTAGAGTTGACAAGTGATGTAGTCGAAACATGAAAAGTTTAGGAGTGCGGATATCATCTTCTTTCGTCCTAAATATTGACTGTAGATCCTTTTGATCCTAAAAAATGGTTGTGGTTTGTTTAGCTCTATGGCTACAACTCCCTCCATCCCAAAATAAGTGATTTAACTTTGTACCAAGTTTAGTACAAAGTTGAGTCACTTATTTTGGGATGGAGGGAGTATTTTGCAGCCGAACGAGTACCATAGTTCCTTTCACTTTTGTGCAAACGCTTGGTACTTTGTTATTTCATTATTAGAATGATAATGGAATATGTCAAAGAGGTCGTTCAAAAAATCTAGAAATATGGAGTCACCATTGATTAAGTGATTATTTTCATACTTCTAATGTCCTCTTTGTGCGGAAAACTCCATGTTAAAATCCGCACAAAGAACTACATGTTGAAATAGTTACATATGTGATTTGGGATCATGGTTCCAAAGACCTTGTGCTAGTTTACAGACAGTGCAAGTAGCCAAGATAGCACGTCACGCCAAATGTCCCTAGTAAAGGGGCAGTCAACAAGAGGTGTTGGGTCTTCGAGGTTTGGCTACCAGGCATGCAGGAGGGATTGTATGGCAGCTCTCTATGAGCTACGCAGTTCGCCTGTGAAACACCGATCTAGACTAGCAAGCTAGAAGAGAAACTTGAACTTTCATGGAGCATAAATGGACAAGTATACCCCAGACTTTGTATATCTCCAAGGCCCCTATATTACAAGGAAACTATAAAGGCTAAATGGAAACATAATATAACCCTAACACCCCTCTCAAACTCAGGTTGGATCCACAACATTGAGTTTGGAGGGGGGAAATCCATGGTGTGCTCTAGTCTGTGCGTTCATAAAGAAATCCATCAACCATAACTCAGAAGGCACATAGTGAAAAGCAATAACCAGATCCAGCACACCTAAACACGCAAAAGAAGCATCAGCACTGAAATGCTTGTTGTGCTAATGCTTCATAGGGTCGCACACAATACAAATAACACTTGTATAGTCTGAGAAAAGGGGAGTGTAGTAACTGAAACATCAAAGACCTAAATTAACCATAGTAACCAAGTCACCTCTACTGTTAAAAGAGTCATAGCTTGTAACCAATTCACCTGTTGATGAATGACTTATTTCTTGAGGTACTGCTCTAGTTCCTAATGGGTTCCATTAGAATTGCATCGGCATACAAATCTAACACCTTCATTTTGGAAAATTTCCCTTGCTTACTCCATATCCCATTGACCTTCTTACTTCTGGGATGCTTCTGAAAATACCTTTTTCCATGATTCACTTTAGTAAAGCATTTTCTTGCTCAAGTGTAACTTGGCTAAGAGGAGAGTTAGGAGAATCAATAGAAAGATTCACATTTGAGGATGTGACATGAGATGGTGTAGCAATAGGTGCAATCACAATGGATAATGATTGAGATGCATAGTTTGAAATGTAGAAAGTGAATTGAGTCAACACATGTGGTGTGTATTAAAAAGCTATGAATTGCTTAACAATATGAGTTATATATAGATAAGATATTTTGAAAATACCTTCCTGTTTGTATGTATAAAACAACATAATAAAAATAGTACATACTACCTAAAAAGTAGGATATACTACCCAAATATTTTTTATATACAACATACTACACGTACATACTCTCAGTTTTGACAGATACTACATACAACATACAAAACTCACATGAGGGTAACTACCATTGGTGGTAGGAAAAATTTGTCCTATATATAATATGGAAAAATGAGGAAACTAAGAGAATATGTGAGGCTACCAAGCCTTCAGCCCATGTTATGGTGTCCTGGTTCCCTTCCCTCCCACCCGACATGGCCCACTAACAAAATAGTTGCAACCTACCTCATTGCACCACACTGAACTTGACCAATCAATCGAACAGGCGCATCGGCTCCCTAACTCCTTCCACAAGACCACGTGCAATGAAGCAGCCAGCCAGGGCACGGGAGCACAATAATAGGAACTCGTGCGGTTATGGCTACGGGCCTGTGGACAACGGCTAGATCTATCACCCGACATGGGGGAAGGCATCCTGAATTGCCTTCCTCGGTGCTCTAGATAAGGATAGAGGCAACCGTCAGTTTTGTATTTTCGTCGATCGTCAACCGCATTCCGCTTGCTAGGCTGCATTCACATCCCACATGTGTACAAACAATAACAAGAGTAAGCAAGTTATGTTGTCTAGTTGGCTTCCTATTTCAGCATATTGCAATTTCAGCTTTGTTTGCACTTTGCAATGATTCTTGTATTGTTTAAACAAGGGGAATCGATATTTTTAAATGTTATTAAGTAGTCTAATTCATTAATATTGTTTTCATTTTGTGACGTGAATTTGCAATGCGAGAATCTCTGTGAATTGTAAATTTTTACCATTGTATATTACTTAAAAAAATTAAGACTCTAAAACTTGAGGTTCTAAAAAGAACATCATCCTTTAAAATTTTGAATACTTACTCTTCAAATCCTAGGTTCTTCCCTACATTGAGGGCCTTCATGCATTCATGATTTTTCCTTAAATTAAGCAGTTGAAGCTAAGCATCTCATGTTCCTTCAAAAGCTCTCTCGTCGATGTGAGTTTGATGCTTTAACTTTAGTTTTCCCAGATCAGTAGTCATGCTTTCATTTCTTTTCTCATCGCATTGATAAGAAACTTTTCTTACTCCTCCCACATGTTAGTATGTGCGCCATAACTCAATCTGTCCTCATCATCATCAACATTCAAGTCATCTTCATCGCTCTTGAAATCATTGAATTCGGGTTGAGTAAGCTTATAGCCATTGGATTTGAAGTATCTTATATGATCCACTTCTTTCAATTTGTGAGCCAAATGAGGACTTGGGCTTGCTGGATACAATTTCAATCCCAATGAAACCTTTATCATAACTTTCACAGTAGGTTTAATAGCTTGTGTGATGTTGGTCTCGGGTTTGGTACACCATTACCATGTGATCTACTCTTCGAGTATCTCTTGGTGTAATTTTCCTTTCCTATTAGCATAGTTGTTTATCTAATGTCTTCTTTCTCTTCGATCATCCTTGTCCCCCTTTTCTCTTCTATCCCTTCTTTGAGATTCTTCTTTATTCTTATTGGGTTACGGACAATCGACAACAAAGTGTCTGGATTGACTAGAACTCCATTAAAAAAATCTCGTTGTCTTGAGCTTGATTATTAGTATCTTGATCTAGTGTAGCTGCAATCTTTTCTCTTGAACTTGTCGTTCGAATACATCTTGTTGAAGTTAAGAACCATGAGACCAAGTTCTTCATCGGGGACCTCTTTCGATTATTTCACACTTGGGTTCTTGGGAGCACCATTAGTGGCTTTGTAATCTCCCCTACTCTTGTGAGTTAAATATTAGCAATGAAGATCTTGCTTAGCCTTAATACTCATCTCATGACCCATAATCCTTGACCTTGATTGTCTTGCGATCTTTGTAGTTAGGCATCATTTGTAAGAGAGTGCAACTAGTGTACTAATTTCCATCTAAATCTCTTAAGTTCTTCTTGACATTGAATCTACCATTCATCTATTCACGTCCAAGTCTAGCAATTTCATTGGCAATAAGTAGAGTCTTGAGTACATCTGGGCCACACCTTATCCATGTTTCATACGGAGCTTGTCAAGTTCGCCATGAAGAACATCAAGCTTTGACTCTTATACTAGTTTGGTGCCTTCGTGAATTTCTAGAAGGGTGTCCCAGATTTCTTTGATGTTCCCCCGAGAAGCTGGTCTTGTTGAATTCTTCCGGACACAAGGAGTGGAACAATATGTCCACACTTTAGCATTGCATAGGATCAACTTCAATTCTTCAACATGTTTGACCTCTTTCTAGTTTCTATTGAGCATATTGAAAGAATTTTCCTTGTATGGCAACAAAAATAGCAGTCCAAACGATGAGATTATGACCAAAAAATGCATATGGCTCTTATTCTTCCAACTAGAAAAATTTGAGCCATGAAAATAAGGACATGTATATGGTGAAAACTCCCTTCTCTTACTTGAATCTATTCATTCCTTAGGCGGTTTAACCAAACCAGAGCACGTGCAGGATGCATTGGAGGCTAGATGGGGGTTGAATACACTATCAAGACATGGGGTCTCTACAAAAGTCAAGTGTGGAAGCAAAATTTGTAACTAAGGTAATAAATTTGAGAGAGAGAGAGATCACAAACACTAATTTTTCTGACATTGAGTTAGTTGGAGCTATCCTAATCCTTGTTGGTGGAGGTGCAAACACAAAGGTCTTGGTAGTGTCACCCACAAAAGTCCCACAAAGCCCATAACCCACCTATGTCACCATGGTTAGCTGACCACGATGGTCAAACTTCACTTGGGGTATATTTTCATGAGGTAGGTGATCTCCAAGGCCTCACAAACTTATCGGCTCTTTCAAGTCTTGAAGGATTCCAAACACACCTAGCTAATATAGGTGTCACACGCCCTCCATAACAAACAAGATAAGGTTGCTTGCAGATGAATACCTTTGCTTGTGCTTGAAAAGATAATCACCTCCACACTCAAACTCTCATAGGACAAATATTTGGATTTGGATAGGTCGGGTGTTTGAATGATAGACTTGAAATCACGAGAGGGGAGAAGATATCAAAGGTATTTCATGAATGTTTGAAGAATGCCCTTTGAACCCAACACAAGACTATGGAGGTGGAGTGGAATGGTAGGATTGGTGGTGGTATATATAGGACAAACCCACTGAATGATCAGCTTAGACACACCAAGTAAACTAAAAAGTGATTTCTTTTGAATAGCTCCAAGAGTTCAACCTGGATCCACCAGAAGGCTCCAATTAGCACTGGTATTTGTGTGCTAACTTATGGGCACCGTTATGAATATCCAACCAAGGGGGGTTCGGAGGTCCTCCCAGTAGTTAGAGGTTGACAACACCAATGTATTGGAGGCTCCAGATGGCACTTGGTTACTATGGCTATCTCTCTGGAAGGAGTTGGAGGATTCAAATGGATATGACTCTATGGCTCCTAGCAATGTAAAAATACAAGAGATAGTAGAGAAGTAGTTGACATGTTTGAGTGGTTCTAGAGTTTTATCTCCAAGCACCTATGGAGTCATTGTGCTCTTGGATCACTAAAAGCTACTCCCTCTGTAATAAATATAAGATGTTTTGATCTAAAACATTATATATTTTTTATGGGGGGGTATAAAAGATGTTATTTGTTGAAGTGTATATGTGGTGGATTGCCTAGTCCTTTCCATTAATCCAGACTTTCATTGCATTGGCTAGTGCATGAAGCTTAATATGGTATCAAAGCCGAAGGTATTGAGTTCAAGTCCTGGCTTTTGCAATTTATCCAGAAATGTTGACCCCCTTGTGTCCATGTATGGGCCTCTTCGGCCATACCTTTGTGTCTATCCATGTGTTGACTTTCCGTGTGACACGTGAGAGGGTGTGTTGAAGTGCATATGTGGATTGCTTAGCCCTTTATATTAGTTTGGACTTTTGGTTGTGTTGCCTAGTTCATGAAGCTTAACATCATTAACCTTGCCAACACTTGATCTTGAAATTTTTTGGGGTCAATAACTATCTTTCAACTTGCTTCTGTTGAGACTTATCATGAAAAATAGGTGTAAAAAATAGGCCCTTTGATAAAGTTGTCATATATCATTTTTTTACTATTTATTGTAGAGTAACAACCCTATAGTATTTTGTTCTAGATTTTTCCCTGGGATAGCTCAAATCCATTCCTGCTGAGAGCGGATTTAAACATGTAAAGTCAATAGAAATAGCAATAAATAGGGTCACTCATTCTTAACTATACAATTTTGTAAGATAGAGTATAGCAGTAAATAGGGTCTAAATTCAAGAAGCCTCTTACTCTGTCTCTTCTTTATTATATCAGGGGACTCACAAACATTATTCGTTTATCAATAAAGAAGTTGGACAGTTCTAAGTGGGAGCACATCCCTGTACCTTCAAGGCAAGTTAGCGATTTTTTTGGTATTTAGTGGAATAGTACTAATTGGCACATTTGAAATTGGCAAAGCGTTTAGTCATTGTAAGTGTTGGGTCCATGACATCAAAGTATAACATCAATTCCTCTTCTACTTTGTTTAAAACATGATATGTTCATGAATTGATGTGGGATATTTGAGAATACTATGGAGACATACTAAATAATACAATATCAGGGTAGTTAGATATCACTCTTCGCACAAATAGACATCATGTAATTACTAAACAGAAAAATGTTGTGATGCAGTGTAAGGGCTATTGTTGCATTAAACCTTCACAACTATGCGAGTGGAAGGAACCCATGGGGAAATTTGAAGCCTGGATACTTGGAAAAGGTGCTATGAATACATTTATATGATTATTTACTATTTTTGTGTTTACAAACATTCCCCCAAGGAAGCTAGAGCACTATCTATTCATTGAGAATAATATAATATTCTTATATGTTTGTTTATGTATAGAAAGGATTTGTCGAAGCCCAATCAGATGATGGCATTCTTGAAATATTTGGGTTGAAGCAAGGGTGGCATGCATCCCTTGTAATGGTTGAACTTATATCAGCCAAACACATAGCACAGGTATGTGTGTACAGAGTAATTAGGTTGGGTAGTCATATGAAATGAAGAATATCTATTGTATAGTTGTATACTACCTTATCTGTTAATCACCACGGATGAATACAAATTTATGGAATATATATTAATTAGTGGGACAATTGAGGAAAATACAAACTTTAGGTGTATTGGTGTCAGGTTAAAGCATGGAACATGACTATAAACTTGAGCATTGACCTTTCATACCCCCTCCAGTGCAAATGAATTAAAGTTTGAGGTTTTTCCTTAGTCAAAGAAGTTTGACCAACTCTATAGAAAAAATATGTGTATTGAAATATTTTCTTATAAACTTGGTTAATGCATATATTTCTAGACTTGGTCAAACTTCAACAAGTTTTAAAAGATAAACCTCGAACTTCAATTAGTTTGGAATGGAGCATGTAAGGTATAATTTCCTATAGACGTGGTAAAATTAGTTTGGAATGGAGCATGTAAGGAATTTTGTCTAGGACAAAACTTAACCTTCAATTAGTTTGGAACGGAGGAAGTAATTCACTACAACAAAGAAACGTCATGCCTCTCCTTATGCTCCAATGTGGTGTCACCTCTCAGTACTCCACATAAAAAAAATCTTTGTGCCATGGAATTAATGAGGTAAGAGTAGGAAACTAGTTATATTCTAGATACCATCTTTAACGCAGTCCAACAAAGAAATCATTAAGAATTTAACTTGTCATCCAATTTGACTCACATTCTATTAATAAGAGTGTGAACCATTGAATTAAATACTTGGTATATTTAAGATACAACCGATTAGATTGGTGGGTATCTAAGTGATATGACATACTTATAAGAGATGACCAATGGGATTGGCCTCAAAGCAAAAGCTAATATAAAGTGGTTAACTTTAAAGTACAATTCAATTCCAAGTCCATCAAATGGAAATATGATATCACTTTAGAGTGCTACTCCCATAAGAAAATGAGGAAAATAAAAGATTAACTAAACATTATGTAAAACTAAAGCAAGAAATACATAGTGTCAATGTCAACATTATAGTGTCCACATCATGTTATAACTAATGTTTCAGGCAACAGCAATCCGGTTAGAGATCAAAGGTGGCCAATGGAGGGATGCATATATGCAAATGGATGGGGAGCCATGGAAGCAACCACTAAGCACTGAGTATTCGACATTCGTTGATATCAAGAGGGTGCCTTACCCATCGCTGATCATCAACGGTGCAGATCGCTAATGATAGCCAATGGTTTTTTGCACTCACCTAGCTGGACCTGCGAGGAGCAGTTTTTAGCTTCCAGCCCGGAAGCTTGATGAATTACAAGTTCATTCCTGATCATCCTTGTGCAAAGTCATAACGATATATGAAGTTGTCGATATATAGAATTTGTATAGCAACGATAGAATGTATCCATCCACTGCTTTCATCCGAGTTCTAAACTTAATATCATATCATTTGTACAGGATGAATTTGCTATTGCAAATTGTTTAGTTATTCGAGAGTGATACCGAAAATTGTGTTGTAAAAGTTAGGCTTTAGACAAAAATAAATTTCCCCCAGGTGGACATATGAAACTTTATGGAAACTATTAGGCGATGTGACATATAACCAACATTACTACAATAAAGGTCATATCCTCATGCATACTCATGCACAAGAGAACCTAAATCTGATGTAAGAAATATTTCATCTTATTTTAGAAATTCAAAATGTTTGTAGATCAAATTGTTTGTGTGATTCACAATTCTTCTTTACCATTAAACTTGTTGTATCAAGATTTTTGAAACTAGATACCATGTTGGTACGTTTTCTTCACTCTTTTTTGGAGTTAAAAGTTACTACCTAGTTACAGAGGTAGTACTAAACTATATATGTGAGTTAGAACAAGTTCACACATTAGTTACACAACATGAAAACTTGTTTGAAACGTTTTAGTATTTTTAGGTCCAAAGTTACCATCTAATACTATAAGAGTACCCATATTGTTCATATGATATCCGTAACATCGTGTGGATTGTCACACCACTCGTGGGTACTCCAACAAAAAGCTAGATTTTGCAGCAACCTCCCGTTTAACTACATCATTATTATGGTTGTGAATGTCCCCTTAGACATTGGGTAACATACATGTGCCATGATGATAACTGTAGCATGGAGAGATAGTCCACTACAGATTGATCATTTTGGTAACTATATCATGTAGAACCTGGTAAATGTAGTTGTGTCATGTTGATAACTGTAGCATGGTTACAAGTTGTGGTTAGGTGTGACATTTCCCAAAGGACGCTGCGAACCACACAATCAACTGGCAACTACATTTGCATCATGTTGATAACCGTAGCATTGAAAGCTGGCTAACCTCATAGTACCATGGCGGTAACTACAACATACGTAAGTAGATAATTCAAAATAACCATGTTGGTATATAGTATAGAAAACCTGATAACTACATAATTGCTATGTTTGATAATTGTAGCGAGGCCAGATGAGTAGCTATAGTTGGTTCATGTTGATTAGGATGAACATCTGAGTAACTACATAAAAACCCTATTCGTAACTAAACATAGGCATCTATGTAACAACATAATAACAATGTTGGTAACTATAGCATGCTAAACATGGTACCTATCGTTGTGTGTAGTCTCCCATAGATTAGAGATAGTGGTTTTTTAACGTGCATTGCATCCATGCAGCTAAAACCTCAGGTAAATGTAAAAGTTCATTTAAATTTAGTTAAACTTAGTTAAAGTTGAATTCAAATACTAAATTGGACAGGACCTTTCCTCTTATTCGGGATGTTGGGTTCCATTGCAATTAAGAATTAAGTTGAGGGAATTAAGTGCAAAAAGTACAATTCAACATTAACTGGAAATGCATTTATAATTAAAAGAAGAAAATGATGGGAAATTCAAACTTTTATAAGAAATACAATAAATAATACAAAGTCATATTACAAAAGAATAAAGAAATTTGTAATAGGAGATTACAATTACATCTCTTGAGTACATAACTTGAGGAAATGGAAAATATAAAAATTACATATCTTCTATCCTAACTACTCCTATACAAATCTTCTTCATTTCCGAAAACCTGCAGAATAGACATCAAAGACAAAAGAAATTGTTATGGTTAAAATTTTGCATTCCCCTTAGGGAAATGCATTGATTTTGGAGCCAACACTTTCGAGATTTGGCAATGGTAGCCAAATTCCAATAGTGTATAGAGTGGTTGATCAGAATGAAATAAGTAGTTCTAGGGAGACCAAATAGACAACCAAACAAATGGAACACTAGGAACCAGCCCGAAATCAAGTTCCATGAGAGATCACAGATTACACTCAAAAATCAACTCAACTAGTACTAGCTCCAGGATTCCTCAAATCCCGCAAAAACTAGTGTTTCGTATCATACTGGGTCAACCAACATTGTAATCTATTGTCAAGTGACAATAGATTAAGCTCTCGTTCATCATTAGAATAAAGCCAATAGGAGATAAACATCCAACCTGGGCGGCCAAGGGACAAGTCCATATGCAATTAGCCACCCAGCAGCTCTAAGGATAAGGATCAAGGAGCAAGTGAGAGCACCAAGCAGTTTTTGTCTCAACCACAACAACCAGACCACCAGGAACTGCCAAGCATGCATCACACTGAGTTGTGGGGCACCTGAGTCACTCACCTACATGTCAGGTGCCCAAGATGCAGGCATGACAATATAAGGAGCAACACAACCGCCATCCACAACTTAAGAACATTAGGTGCAATCGTACCTAACAAGGAGACAACCACATTGGTTACAAATCAAGAAGCTAGGAGGTGTAGGACTACCACAAGAAATAGACCAACAAATTGGTTAAGAAAAAGCTACAGGAAGACCAAAAGGTAGGAATTGTAGGAAGAATAATAGGAGTGCCATGTTGCATATCATAGGATTTTGTAGGAAACTTGTATTATCTGTAGTATCTATTATATTCCAGTGAGAGCCTCGAACCACCATCATAGGCAAGAAAAGATCAAAGAGCACCTTATCTTATCAGATTTATTAAAGAAAGAAAAGAGAGAGAGACAAAAAGATAGACAAGAAAGTATAAGAGAAAGACTAAGTCAAGACAATATCTGTTCTTCTCATATTTTAGGAAAGAGGGAACTTTGGATAGAAGAGATACTGTCCATAATATCATATAAAGAAATAGTTACCCATAGCACATCATAATAATATTATAGAGAAAAACACATGCACTACATTGCACTTGGCACATTTCTACAAGTAGGAATACAAGCACCACACATACATGGGCTAGTAGTGGAGCACTAGTATATAGCAGCAGTAGTAAATTATATCGTACATGCAGTAACTATATGTCTGCATGCACACAATTCATATATAGTAGAACAATAACAAGATTAAACAGAGCAATGGAAAGGAAAATATGATGATAACTTAACTGAAACCAAAGATAGATCGAGTAAACTATCACCAGAATAGTACACTAACGAGCTGAAACACAACCGAATAACTGAACTTAGTAGCAACTACTGAACCAGAACAAGTTAAATACACCAAATTCAGTAAAGAGCACTAGTTGTAGATTAACAACAAGCATACCCTATCACTACATCCTGTATTTTAGTGCATACAAGACTCAGCAAGGTGGTACTTGCCATGTAACAGTACATGTACAACATAATTAGCAAACCTCAATTAAAATATCCATAGTAGTGGAAAAAAGATCAATAGTAGTAGGAAACCATAGCATTGATTAATTTCCAATTTGCGCAAACATAGAGAGCCACCACATGGACCAAAACATTATTAGCACAAGAACATGTGTGTAAAGGCCAACAACATCACCAAATGCATAGCACCAAGACCAGGAATACATGGACAAGTGCATGATCCACATCACGTAGAACTAGAGCATGAACTAAGACAACATATGACCACGGAGAAACCTTAGCAGCAGCAGAGCATGATTGACGGTGTCCTGGACTAGGGGGGTACTCACCACGTCATCTCCCGATCTGTTAGATTGGGCCGATGACCCCCATGGCCGTATAATCATGGACCAGTCCGAACAACTGCCGCATACAAGGAAGATTCCGCAAGACTTGGCGATCAAGACAAGGACTCCTCCCCCACCGGCGTATTCGGCTAGGACTCTTGTTATCCTAGGCCTCTGGTGCCTTATATAAACCGATGCCAGGCTAGTCGATAGAGATATACAACAATCATACCATGGGCTAGCTTCTAGGGTTTAGCCTCTCTGATCTCGTGGTAGATCAACTCTTGTACTACCCATATCATCAATATTAATCAAGAAGGAGTAGGGTTTTACCTCCATCGAGAGGCCCGAACCTGGGTAAAAACATCGTGTCCCTTGTCTGCTGCTACCATCCGCCTAGACGCACAGTTCGGGACCCCCTACCCGAGATCTACCAATTTTGACACCGATATTGGTGCTTTCATTGAGAGTTCCGCTGTGTGTTCGGCAAAAGGTCGATGGCTCGCGTGCAGATCAACTGCGACTTCGACATCTTCGTCACCAGCTCGACTGGTCATCTTGGTTCGACCAAGGACTGCGCCCTACCTCCGATCGTCATGTTTGGATGAGGGCCTTCATCAACATCAGCTCCGATCTCTATCAAGATCATTGAGGAATCATCCAGGGAGCCCGAGGGCTCAACGTCAACATTGCCCTCGGGCAACCGTGCTGTTTTTCTGGACAGCGAACTTGTATCCGCCGCCACCGCCTCCTCGAGCGTCGGTTTGATGATTGCTTTGCTGTAATAGTGCGGAATTACGTCTACAACAGCCACGCTAAATTTTGTCGAGTTTTGATGGAGGAATCTCCGACAACCTACGATATACCGGAGCCCTGTCAAATCTGGACGAGAATCTGGACGAGTTTAGGGCGTGGTGTCCAGCTTCTAGCTTGGACCTCTTTTGGAAGATCCATCCGTTGATCGACTGTGGAATTCCTATATCTACCACCCCTCAAAATTTCAGCTCGATCCAACCGTCCAAACTCCGGGAACCTTCCGATTAGTGAATCACTTTTCGGATCTGTCTTCTGCGCGAAAACAAATCCGACCCGAGTTCGTCCTTTTTACGAACGGGATTTCAGACATCCTTTTTGAAGGAAGTTTTGTATGGGGTATTGTGTTTTGTTCCCGAACACATCCCACTAACTTTAAAATCTTTTGAACATGATCTTCAACATCATGCTAGTGTCAAACC